AAGTGGGCAAAGGATATGAACAGACACTTTACAAAAGAAGACATATGTGAGGCCAACAAACATATGAAAAAATACTCATCATCACTGGTCATCAGAGAAATGCAAATCAAAACTACATTGAGATACCATCTCACGCCAGTTAGAATGGCGATCATTAAAAAATCTGGAGACAACAGATGCTGGAGAGGATGTGGAGAAATAGGAACACTTTTACACTGTTGGTGGGAGTGTAAATTAGTTCAACCATTGTGGAAGACAGTGTGGAGATTCCTCAAGGACCTAGAAATAGAAATTCCATTTGACCCAGCAATCCCATTACTGGGTATATATCCAAAGGATTACAAATCGTTCTACTATAAGGACATGTGCACACGAATGTTCATTGCAGCACTGTTTACAATAGCAAAGACCTGGAACCAACCCAAATGCCCATCGACCATAGACTGGATTGGGAAAATGTGGCACATATACACCATGGAATATTATGCAGCCATCAAAAACGATGAGTTCGTGTCCTTTGTAGGGACATGGATGAACCTGGAAACCATCATTCTCAGCAAACTGACAGAAGAGCAGAGGATCAAACACCGCATGTTCTCACTCATAGGCGGGTGTTGAACAATGAGAACACATGGACACAGGGAGGGGAGCACTACACATTGGGGTCAGTTGGGGGGAAACAGGGGAGGGAGGGTGGGGGGTGGGAAGCTGGGGAGGGATGACAGGGGGAGAAATGCCAGATGTAGGTGATGGGGAGGAAGGCAGCAAATCACACTGCCATGTGTGTTCCTATGCAACAATTTTGCATGTTCTTCACATGTACCCCAAAACCCAAAATGCAATAAAATAAAATGGGAAAAAAAAATAAATAAATAAAAGAAAAAGAAAATCTGGGACTGAACAGAAAGCACAGGCATGTCATGGATAATCTGTGTAAGTCATATGTAATTTTTCCTGTTTTTTTCCTTCGTGTCTGTCTTCATGCACATATACAGAAAATAGGAAGCTGAAAAAGTTTAGGTGTAAAATATTCTTAAAACCTGATAGATAATTGGAAAAATTTGGCTAATTAACATTTTCATAGCTAAAACTTAGTCTTGATTGAAGTAAAATAAGAAATTTTGTAAAGAAATGCATTGGCAGTTTAGCAATTCTTTTTTAATATAGTTATACATGAAGCTAGATTTCGTGTGGGGCCAAATTTCACATACATGGTTACATTGCTTCACACTACGTTTACTGTTTCGCATGGATAGTGCTGGCACTGGAGTAACTACTGGTTAGTGAATTTGATTGCATAGGATGTATGGTGATATTGGTGGACATAAGGATACTGAATTGTGTATCCGGAAGAAAACATTAATCATGAGTTATTTTACGGCCCTGGGTGATGCTATAGCCTCCTGGTTGGACTGAGTAGGAAAAATCTAGGGTTGGTTTCTGTTTGTTTTTGCTTCTGATTTCATGTTTGCTGTTTGTTCCGTGGATTTTGCTTATGTTTGCATTTATATAAAACTATTGATGTTTTTGTTTCTAATGGAAAGCTTTTATTTGGTTCTATGATTTGTTTTATTTATCTAAAGTTACTAAGCTACTTTGGTCTAGCCTCCAAAATTTGACAAGAGGACACAAGCCATTTAAAATTTGGTTGGTTTTGTTTACCTCTAATGATCTAGAAAACTACAAGAGCTTTAAGGTTTCTGGCAAAAAATAATAATAATAAATGACAAGTTCTGAACAGGAAGAGTACATTATATACTGTTATTTGGAAAAAGTAGGTGAGAATAAAAATGTTTGCATGGTGCTTTTCAGGATGACTCAATTGAATCAATACTTTGGGTTGGTGTCAGATATTTTCCTTTCATGAAGAAAAAGTGCAATGGGTACAGTTTTAATTTTAATGTTCAGGAAACACTGGCTTTACCAGTAAGGAAATTGATTAGAATTTCTCTCAAGCTAATTTAGTTGTGTTTACTACTCTTTAAATTAGAGTGACATTCACTTGGATTAAGTAGTAATTTTTAAAAAGGTGAGACTTTGTAGTGATTTTTTTTTTTTTAAGACAGAGTCTTGCTCTGTCGCCAGGTGCCAGCCTGGAGTGCGGTGGCGCAATCTTGGCTCACTGCAACCTCTGCCTCCCGGGTTCGAGCAGTTCTCCTGCCTCAGCCTCCTGAGTAGCTGGGATTAGAGGTGTGCACCACCATGCCCAGCTAATTTTTGTATTTTTTTTTTTCAGTAGAGACGGGGTTTCACCATGTTGGCCAGGATGGTTTCAATCTCTTGACCTTGTGATCTGTCCACCTCGGCCTCCCAAAGTGCTGGAATTACAGGTGTGAGCCACCGCACCCAGCCTGTAGTGATTTTTGATCTCAAGCTGTCCATCACTGATGGGACTTCATGGGTGTACTTGAAAACAAAATATGTGCAGGTGTTACAATAGTCTGAAAATTTTGGTGGTGAAAGTTACCTAATCAGTTGTCAGTGTATCTAGAAAACAATCTTGGAAATGTGTGATGGTGTGCTTTTTAAAGAAACTGTGCAAATAAACTGTGTGCTTATTTTTTTTTTAAAAAAAAAAAAAAAAAAAAAAAAAAGAAACTTCAAACCTCATAGAGCTTAAGTTTGTCTGAAGACAGTGAATCCATGAATGTAAAATATAAATGACTAGAGAATTTGAAGCATCTCAGAATTGGAAAAGACCAAATTACAACCAATTCGAAGGCATAAAATAAAAGGTTAATAAATTTGGCCAAATTAAAAAATGGGCTTTATGGCTGGGTGCTGTAGCTCATGCCTGTAATCCCAGCACTTTGGGAGGTGGAGGCGGTGGATCATGAGGTCAGGAGTTCAAGACCAGCCTGGCCAACATGGTGAAACACCATCTCTACTAATAATACAAAAATTAGCTGGGCATGGTGGTGGGTCCCTGTAATGCCAGCTACTCAGGAGGCTGAGGCAGGAGAATCACTTGAACCTGGGAGACAGAGATTACAGTGAGCCAAGATTGTGCCACTGCACTCCAGCCTGGGAGACAGAGCAAGACTTCATCTCAAAAAAAAAAAAAAAAATTGGCTTTACACTCTGACATCTAACCTATACACCACCCCATAGTAAAAGCTATAGCTTTGCATGTATCTGGACATGAGGAGGAAAAGTGAAATGTATAAAAAGACATTAATTTAAAATAAATAATAAGCTTAAGACTGGGCCACAAAAATAGTTATAAAGAGCAGAGGAGCAAGTAAACCACCCCTCCCAGCCTAAATTGCCTGAAGTTAGCTAAAGGAGACCCAGCATAGCCTCCTCCTTCCAAGATAAGGCACCCGAGCATATCTGTGCACCCACAGCTCACAAGCATATTTCTGCAAAACAAAAAACAAAAAACCTGTTCTCTTCCCCAGCTACCAGCCGCGGGAGTGAGACAGCCATGGGAGCGAGATAACCGCATAGAAAATATACATATTCTCAAGGTTGTAAACTTGTCACAAGTCAATGACTAACTCTGTTTAAACCACTTTTTCTCCTGCCTTATCTTCCCATGCCAAAACTAATACAAGCAAGGAATTTTCCTTTGTGCGGGGCTGGCAGCCATTACAGGCAGTAAGGCCACTGTCAGCTGGAGCTCCAATAAAGAGGTTCTCTTGTGTCTCTTGGTCTCTCTCTTCCTCTTGGCTTGAATTTCCACAACAGACGGAGGAAATTTCCCAATGTTCCTTAAGTTCTTTTTTTTTTCCTAAGAATATTCTGTAGCTATTTTATTTTTCTACCATTTTTATTGTCAGTTATATAAGAATTACATTTATTCATAAATGCTAAATCTAAGCATTATTTTAATTGGTTTTTTTTTTTTTTTTGGAGACAGGGTCTCACTCCATCACTCAGGTTAGAGGGCAGTGGCACAATCAAATCTCACTGCAGGCTTGGCCTCCTGGGCTCAGGTGATCCTCCCACTTCAGCCTCCTGAGTAGATGAAACTAGAGGCGCACATCCCCACACCCAGCTAAATTTATTTGTAATTTTTGTAGAGATAGGGTTTTGCCATGTTGCCCAGGCTCTTCTGGAGCTGCTAGGCTCAAGTGACCCACCCACCTCGGCCTCCCAAAGCGATGGGATTACAGGCGTGAGCCACTGCACCTGGCCTTGTACCAAGCACTTCCACATACATCACTGAGCTCATTTATGTCATAATTCTGAAAGGAGAGGTCAAAAATATGCAAGCTGCAGGATTTTCCCCAGGTCCTCTTACTTTACTTCTAGTGCTCGTCCACCAAATCATGGTTATGTCTGTGTTGTAAATATGTAAATACAAAAGAAGCTTTTTATTTCAAAACACCAGTGGTAAAAAAGAAGTTATAGAGCTTTTCTCTGAAAATCATGAGATTATCTGCTATTGTAGTAGCTTCTGTTTCCTCTTTACAGTGTTTGAAACAGAAATAAGCATGAAACGGGAAAATACACTGAAGTACTTTTCTAAGAACAAAACAGTTATCAGCAAATCATCACTAAGTTTCTCTTATGGCATATCATTGTTTTCAAAGCTCTTTGTGCTGAAATGAGATGCTACTTGGAGTAAACTGTTATGTACCCAAAAGTAAGGGGTATGGCATCTGAAGTATGGCCTCTGAACTGGCTATACATTTCATCCTTACTACCAGTAGAAATAATAATCTAACCTCTCCATTAATATATTAGAAAGGTGAAATCATGTCTGAAAGCTGGAATGTCTGTTGTTAGCAAGGGTTTTGAGATTGTGGAAAGATCATTAATTCCTATGAACAACAAATGTTTTTCCTTTGGATAAGGCCACTGTGAAAGTCACTACTTGACCCTTGCAGACAAATGAAGTTGAGTTAAGAAAATGACGTTATACAATGGGCCAAAAATTCCAGAACCACTGTCACCACCCCAATATGTGTGTGTGTGTGTGTGTGTGTGTGTGTGTGTGTGTGTGTGTGTGTGTGTGTGTGTGTGTGTGTGTGT